CTTCTTGAAATTTTAGTACTCTTGGGGCTGAAGCACAAGTTTCAGGAGTTAAAGGATATCCTCAGCTACATAGCTAATTTGATGCTACCCTGGGTTACATGGTGAATTTGTGGTTATTCTTGACTACATAGCAAGATCCCATCTCTGAAAAAAAAAATGAAAAAAGAAGAAAAAAGGACACCAATAATTAAATGAGTTAGAAGGTAGATAAAGATATTTTTGTCCACTTAACTATTAGAATCTATTTAGCCAGGTGATGGCGGCACATGCCTTTAATCTAAGTACTTGAGAGGCAGAGGCTGGTGGATCTCTGTGAGTTCCAGGAGAGCCAGGACTACACAGAGAAACCTGATCTCTAAAAGCTAAAGAGAAAAAACAAAACAAAAAAAATTAGAATCAAATTTTATCAGATTAAAAAAATCATCTAATCTATAAATAGAGTATGTATAACCGGATAGTAATTATGAACACTCATTAGAGGCCACATATTTGTAACTTATTTTGTGTGTGTGTGTATTGTAAATGTGCATGGGGGTGGGGTCTTTATGCAGAGGCCAGAGGAGTCCTTTCTTCTTTATCCCCTGATGTGTGGACTCTCCATGCTTTCAATTACACTAGCCAGCAAGCTCCCTGGTTCAACCTTTCTCTGTCATCACAGCAGTGGAGTTATAGGCCCACACCAACTGTCTGTCTGTCTGTCTGTCTGTCTTTCCATGGGACCTGGTGATTTGAATTCATGTTTATTTGGCAAACATTTTTACCCAACACTAAAATATATTGTTGAAACAATTTCACCTGTTTCTGTTTGACTTTATGAAGTGCAGCTACTAGAAACTTCTAAATTGCATTTGTTACTGACATTGCATTTCTGTTGGATACCAGTGTTCTACAGTTATTGTGGACAAAATTTCAAAAGACAGCTAGTCCCCCACACAGGGCTTATGAATAGTGCCTTTCCCACTTCCCTTCATCACATTAGCTCTCTACCTTGTTCTTCAGGTTGGTATAGACTTTTAACTGTTAAGGATCAGGTCGACATTAGTAAGAAACTTGCCATTGTATCTCTGCTTTATTGTGACTGTTATTATTGATCCTAGGCTTTGGTTTTGGGATATTTCATGAACATTAGAGATATTTATTTTTGCTCACTTTGAGTTTTAGTCCCTAAACAGCATGTATATCCACCCATATGAGTACACGTGTGGTCAGCATATATTGTTTAGGTCAAGACTCAGTTTTTACTATCATGAATATAAATGTTAGTCATAACTGAGCTGTGTGTTCAGTACTCTCTGCCTTTGGGGCACAGATCTTGTTTCTGCTAGAATCAGTAACTGCTAATTACTTAGAATCTTAGATTTCCATGTGCCTGCTCAAGTCAGTCTCATGTTCTTTACCATTTGTCTGAAATTCATCGCCATGCCTGTAGATCTGACAGAGTGTGCTGTTCTTGGAGACATGAGACCTGCCTATCTTTTGCAAGAGCTCCCCTTTGTATGTCCAGGATCTCCTTTCAGGATCCTTAGCTTGCCTCAGCCTTGTCTCTTGGCTTTCTGTTTCTTGCATCTTCCTCTTTCTTGGTTAATTGCCTTATTTGAGCAAAGTACACATATTGTTTCCTGAGAAAGAATACGTGGGCCACAACAATTTTAAAGTTGTGTGTCTAAATATGTCTGATTTATTTCCTTATGTTTAAAGACAATTGGAAGTTGGAAAGAAATACTCAGAACATTGAAGGTATTTCTCACTTGTTTTAGAACTTCCAGGGCTGGTATGTGCAATTTAGATCAAATTCTGGCACCTAATCAATTCTATGTCTTCTTTGTCCTAGTCCCAACTTGTTTTCTTTCTACTCAAAAATTTCTTTATGAAATATACCAGAAATGTTTTTATTTTCATCTTAATTTTTTGTATTAGATGTCCTGTATTGTCAATTTAATTCTGTCTTTTCATTGTTTTCACTTTTTGCTGAAGTTTCTGAGAGATTTACTCAACTTGATTGTCCAGCTAGCTTTCTAGTAATGTTTTTTTCCATTTCACCTATCACAGCTTTGGGGTTTTTTTTTTTTTTTACCTCCTGAAAGTTCTTTTTCATTTAGGTTTTTGTTTGGCTTGGTTGTTTGGGTTTCTTTCATGCTAAGATCTGGGTGGGTGACTTCTGGTTTATACTTGAGCTGGAACATTGAAATGCTGACTAGCCCGTCCATTGGTCTCATGGCAGTGGACTTTGTTTTAGTCCCATCTGTATAGCTGCTTCCTGGAGAACCTCAGATGTCCTTTTTTGTTTGTTTGTTTGTTTGTTTTTTGTTTTCATCAGCCCAGCCCAGTTCCCTAAATGTGGATTTTCATTTTGGATCATTTAGGTAGGATAGGAAGCATGTGACTTAGAAAGTCTCAGCTTGTAATGTCCCCTAGTTTCTTTCTGTGTGTCTTTAGTAGAGTTACCTACATGCTTGTAATTTTCTAGACTAGAGATCCTTTGATTTGATAAAAGGGATTGTTTTTCCTTTTAATGACAAACAATATACCACATTTTGCTTATTCATCAGTTGATATTTGGTTCATCTCTATGTTTTAGTTATTTTGAATGATGCTGCTGGGAAACTCCTCTGTGTTCTTTTCTTAGAAATAATACTTTTATTTGTCTCTGGTATATTCTGGTCATCTGACAACTCTTAACATTTTGCAGACCTATGAAAAAAAGCATAGTTGAAAACATTTTACATTCCCACTGGGAGTGCATGAGAATTCCAGCTTGTAAGCACCTTGTGTTGTTTCTGTTTTGATTTTAGCCATCTGTGAGGATATAAAGCGAGTGGCATTTTAGTATAATTTTAATTTGTATTTCTTTAATAGCTAATTTGGTACTGTTTCACATGTGTTTATTGACAATTTTAAAATCTTTGAAGAAATGTTTAAGTCTTTTGCCCATTTTCAAACTATGATATTTGGTTGTGTTTTGTTTTATCAGGGTTCTTTGTGTATTTTGGATGTGAATTCCTTATCAGTTGTATGATACACATATATTTTCTTTCATTCTATGAGTTTGTGCTGGCTCTCATAAGGAGATGGCTCAGTTGGTCAAATACTTAATGTACAAACATAAGGACATGAGTTTGGATCTTAGATACTGTCATACAGACTGAGGCTAGTGGTAACAGGGTCTGTAATCCCAGTGCTGGGGAGGCAGAGGGAGCTGGAAGAGTAGAGCTCATTGGCCTAAGCTACTTGAGTCATTTAATTCCAGGTCAATGAGAGTTCAAAAGATAAGGTAGAGAGAGATTGGCGGAGACTTCCTTAAGATTTCCACACTTGTGTACACACATGTACATGCCCAGAGGAGTGCAGACACCCCACACACACCTCACACACAAATCAACAGTAAAAAGCTAAAATTAAAATTGGCCAAATAAATGGTTGTGAAAATGTAAAATCCAATTATGCCACCAACCTCCTGAACATTGTTTATTATTTGTAACCAATTTTTTTGTGTATGTGTATATAAGAAAGAGGAAAGGAGAGAGGGAGACAGATGAGAGAGAAAAAAGGAAGAGAGAGAGAGACAATTCTCTGGATGCAAGAACAAGTTATTTGTGAAGAAAGCAGTTTGATTTCTTCCTATTCTTTTGAATAAAAGTTGTAAGAGAAGACATTGTCTTTGCTCATCTTTGTGTGAGGATATAGTTACTCATGTCTAATTCTACCCATGGGTTTTTCTCTTTAAAAGTATTTTATTAATTGTTACTATTATTTGGTTGTGTGTGTGTGAGGGGGGAGGGAGGAGGAAGGGAGAGAATATAGGGTCATGTGCATACCACAGCATGTGTTTAAAAGTCAGAGGATCAACTTTTTTCTTCTGTTTTTTTTTTTTTATTCTTCACTTCTACATTATATCCCAACTTCAGTTTCCTTTCAGTACATTCCTCCCAGTCCTAACTCCTCTCCACCTTCCCTCTCCTCAATTTCCCTTCCAAACAAAAAAAAGACAAAACTAAAACCAACCAACCAACCAACCAAAAACAAAATAGCAGGCCTCCCAGAATATCAACTGAACATGGTATAACAAGTCACAATAAGAGTAGATACAAACCCTCACATCAAGGCTAAATGAGACAACCCAGTAAGAGGAAAAGGGTCCCACATGTAGGCAAAAGTTCAGAGATTTACCCAAGTCCCACTGTTAGGAGTCCCACAAGAACACCAACCTAACCAACCATAATGTACATGCAGTGGACCTAGCTCACATTGAGAGACCTTGCTTGCTTGCCTTTTCAGTCTCTGTGAGCCTCCACGATCCCTGCTTAGTCAATTCCCCTGGTATCCTTGGTCTCCAACAATCCTTTCTACCCGTCTTCTGTGGGGTTCCCCTGGCTCTACCTAGTATTTGGTTGTGAGTCTTTGCATCTGCTCTCATCAGTTGCTGAGTAATACTTCCCTGATGACAATTGGGCTATATATCAATTTATGAGTATAGCCAAATATTATTTGGAATTATTTCCTTGACTTTTTTTTTTTTTTTTTAATAATCAGTTGTGTTAGATTCTATATTGGGTTTCTGGGCTGTTCTGCCTCTAGTACTTGACCTCCAGGCAGTGTCAGGCGTAGGTTCCCTTTCCTGGCACGGGCCTGAGGACAACTTGTAAGAGTTAGTACTTTCTTCTTTCTGTGCATTCTGTGACTCAAATTCTATGATTATATGATATGTGATTACTTTTTAGATGTTAAGCCACCTTTACATTCCCGGGGTAAATGTGACATGGTTGTAAAATTTGGTAGAGTGCTGTAGGGAAGCTATCTGAGTGTGTGCATTTGCTTCTGGTCAGTTTTTACATTACCATATTAGATCACTGTATATAACATTTTGGTTAAGGACAATTAGAATTAAAATATTATCTCACACTTCTTACTGTTATTTTATTAAGTCAAATCTTGTATAAAACATCCCTCCAAAGTGATATGTTGATGTATCTAACTATAACATTCTTTTTTCTTCTCTGCAGGTTCTATACCTCATGTGGAAGTCAGTAAACCATGGCATCCAAGAAATTTGCTATTAAAGTAAGTAATGCTCAGTAGCTGCCTTTAAAAGGTCACTCACCTTCACTTGAATGAATTTTGATGTTCTTTAGTTGATCTCTACTGTTTAAATGTACAGTTATGGAAATTTTAAGTAGATAACATCAAAATTTTAAGAAGAGATGGATGAGAGAAAAGTAATAATTATTACACTTATAAGGGAGTCTTTGTTTAAAACCTTTTATTTAGGATACTTTTTGGATATAACCCTGTTCCCAGTGCTAATAGCAATCACTCATGCTGAATGTTCATGACTTCTGAGGATAACAGAACAGGCCAAAATCAAAGCAGTAGAGAATGCTGTTGGATCTGGGTATATCTGAGAGAGTGCTCCTGATTGGCTTCTGCTTCCTCAGCCTTCATTGTCAACTTAACACACAGTAGAGGCATCTGAGGAAGGCCTCAGTGAGGAGTTGCCTGGATTAGATTGGCCTGTGACCATATCTAAGAGAAGGGTGTTGTTTATTTATTGATGCAGGGAGTCCTCAGCCCACTATGGGCAGCTCTCTATTCCTAGACAGGTGGTCCTGTCTCTGTGGTGGTCCTGGGCTAAGAAAGTGATGTAAGTATGAACATGTGAGTGAGCCTTTGAGAAAGCTCAAAGTGATAAAGTGATAAAGGATTCTATGTGAAGAACGTCAGTGGAAGACGTGATAAATACTTTATGTGAGCTGTTGGAGATAATTTAATATATATTGGCTGTTCTCTTAGTTCTGTGTAGAGGTGTTATCTTACATAGCATAACACCAAGGTAGACCAATAAGATGGCTCATCAGGTAAAGGCCCTTGGCACAAAGCCTGATTGATCCTCAGGTGTACTACTGAGACCCACATGGTGGTGGGAGAGAACCAATTTCTGCAGGTTCAGTTTTTGTTTGCATGCACACAAATACATGTAACAATTAAAAATAACAACAATAACAGGGTCAATTCCAGTATTTAATTAACCAGATTGGGCTGAAGAGGTGACTTAGAGGGTAAGAGCACTGGATGCTCTTCCAGAGGTCTTGAGTTCAATTCTCAGCAACCACATGGTGGCTCATAACCATCTATAATGTAATCTGGTGCCCTCTTCTGGCCTGTAGGCATACATTCAGGCAGAGCATTGTGTATATAATAAATAAATCTTTAAAAAAATAATTAGCTATGAAACAATATATTTATTATTTTATCTTAGCTAAATCAGAGTTTATCTAGTTTACTAATGTGTTTATACATTTAATTGTTTACAATTACTTCTGGGATACATATACTCTTGAGTATTTCATAAGGGTGTCTAAGTAGAGAACATTCACTATTTGTTTGCAAAAATGTATCTTGATTTTCCTCTAGACTTCTAGTGTCTAGAAAGATATTAAGTTGTCTTTAGAATACTAGTTTGAACAATTTTAATGAGTAGCAAGATTCTGTCTCAAAAGACAAAAGTAAATAAATGTCTGGTGATATGTGGCATTAATTCCAGCACTCAGGAGGCAGAGAGAGGTAGTAGACATCTGTTAGGTTAGGCTAACCTGGTCTACATAGTAAGACCCTAGAGAAAGAGGGGAGAAGGGAGGGGCTGGGAAGATTGATTACTGACTTAAAATACTAACTTTAAAAAAAAATCTCATGATTCTTTTCTGATTTTGTGTAGGTGGTTTCTCCTTTTGATGTTAGCTGGGACTGGTGGTTTGGCATTGTGTAGATACTTTACCTCCTTGCTGTTTCTTCCTCCCCTCCCTGCTCCCAAGGGTCTAGATGAATGGAACCATTGGGTACAGAGAAAAGCAGTTTTAGTTACATTTTCACAAATGTCAGTCACTGTTTCTTAAAGGAATGAAGTAGAAAGCTCTGTTGATTAGCTCCTGCTCTGGAAAACTTAAACCTTTGGCTAACTGAACTTAAAACAAACTGAGCTTAAAAGTTTTATCTACACATTGGAATTTTCCCCAATTCTACGCTCAATGCAAGTGGCTCCAGTTCTAAGTCCCCACTTCCTGTCAGTGTTTCTGAGGCCTTATGAGTCCAGCTCTCCAACTTCCCCAGTACATCCTGGCTCTAGATCCTGACAGCCCAGGCTTGACCCTCATCCAGTCATGGTTATTGATATTGCTATGGGGGTTGTTACTTTTACTCTTCTTTTCAGATAACCACCAATTTCTTATCTATACTCTTTCTTTTCTTTACTTGGGTATATCTTCCTTGCCTTTCCTAAGTTCTCAAGGCAGGAACCTAAACCTCTGCCATCAAACCTTTTCTTTTGTGTGTACTTAAAGCTGTATGGTTCTGTCAAAGCATTTCCTACTTAATTGCATCCTTCACAGGATGCAAGTAAGGTGAGCATTTGGTCAAATAATTCCTAAATTTCATTAAGATTTATGATTTTGTCTATTGGTTATTGTAATCTCGTTTCTGTTTGGAAATTTCTATTGATCCTATTTAAATTACTGTTTAGAGAAGTTTTGTTTCTGTAAAGTACTGATCTGTAAGCATTTGAAAAGTGTGATATGTATAATTATTTATATGTATATAAAATGTAAAATCAAGTATAGTAATATATAATAAACAAAATGTGTGTGTAGAACAAATCATATTTGACAGTTATGTTATATCACTTTATTATGTACTTCCTAATATTTTTTCCATGTGTTCAATCAGTTGAAAGATACATTAAAGTATCCCACTGTGATTTAATATTTATATATTTCTCTGTGTAATTTTATTGAATTTTCTTTGTTTAGTTTGAAATTATGTTCTTAGATACATAAAAATTAGAGTTAAGATATCATCTATTGAATTTAATTTTGAAATATCTTTTTATCTCTATACTTTCTTAAATTATAGTCTGTTTTTCTGACATTCGTGTAACCTACGTTTGGGATCCGTTAATCACACATAGGCTCCTATGGGAGTTTGAAAGCCTGTCAGTCAGCCAAGCCCAGCCATATGTTCAGTGCTTCCAATACCACTTCATTGTTTCCATTATGAATGAAAAATAGCATCTGCACAAATTTAAGGGGAACTTAGAATATAAGAAATAGAGACTAAAGTGAATGAATGAACTCAGAAAGCTCGAGAGACTTTAGGGAGGGTATGAAAATTGTACAGTTTGATATTAGCTTCCTACCAAAGGAAAGCTGTTCTAGTGATAAAACAAGATCAGGGTGCTATGAACAGGAGGCATTCCTGAGAACAGGAAAGAGTACTTACAAAACACGATAGAACACAAATTCTCCGATGATATCAATGCAGTGCCTATCGAGGAACATTGGCCAAAAACCAAAACAAAAGATTGTTCTAAAAATGTAGAAAAAAAAAATCCCAAGAAAATTTGAATTTGGTGTTGATGTGAAAAGTTGAAGTTCTAGAAAAAAGACAAATATTAGAAAAGGACACCATGAAAAAAAACTGTCATAAAATTTACCAGCAAGGACACAATGTTCCTATTTTGAAGGGTTGAGTGAGAATCCAACAAAGTCAATGAAAAAGTACTGTGCTTATAAGTACAACACAGAGACTTTGTGTGTGAGGGGAGGAGAAGAGGAAAGAGGGTGGGAGGGGGAGGGGGAGATGGAGAGGAGAAAGAGAACAACACAGAGGGGAGGGGATGAAGAATCTGAGCAGCCCCAGCCCGCTCAGCAGCAGCAGCCAGGAGGACAGGAGAACACTAATACCCACAGTGCTCATGTATGAGAACAAAACCTACAAGTCTCTTCACCATCCAGCCTTGAAGCACATAGTATAAAAGAATAGAGACATTTTCAAAAATGCTAACTCAGGTCAGGAAAATGTTGTTCTTGTGTACCCTATTGTAGGATGCGGTCTCCAGCATGGGGGTAAAAACAGATTAGACATGAGATCCTGAACATAGCAAATTAGAACACTGAGGAGCTAAGCAAATCTCATGCTGATCACTGTGCATCATCTTCAGAGTGTAGTCATTTTGATTAGTACAGGAAGGAGGGTTCCTTGCAAGATAACAAAAAAAAAAAAATGCAGGATATTATCCACCCCCACCCCCCCCACCCCCACATCTGTCAGAGAAGTTGGGAATGATTTAGTCATAGGAGTTTAGGAAACTAACAAAAGAGCAATGATGTAACTCTTAACTGTACAGAGAGAATTGTGTAAAGTAGGAAAGTAAACATAATCTGTGGCTCAACATTGAGCAAAGCCTAAGCTTCATGATACTGTGAATTCCAGATTTCAGAAGGCTGGGGGGAAATGCATGGGAAGATGGTTGTAAGCATTATGTCCTCATTTTCCATAGATGATATATATAAAGTGGAAATAGAAAATACAGTTCAAACATAGAAGCATGATGGTTAGTAGCAGTTGAAATAGCTAAGTTTTCAGTCTGTTGCCTTTGGTAAGTGGCAGTTGGGGGTCTTTGTGTCTTGTTTTGTTTTCTGAGTTTAGGGTTTCTCTGTATAATCCTGGCTAACCTAGAACTTACTCTGTAGACCAGGCTGACCTCAAACTCAGAGTTCCACCTACCTCTACCTTTGAGTACAAGGATTAAAGGTAAGCACTACCATGCCGGCTTCTAGACTTATTTTTCATATGGCATTTTAATTGGTGTCTGCATAGTATATAGAAACTCAGTGGATAAATAAAATGTTAACAAAATAAATTTATCCAGGGTTTTCATAAAGATACATCTACTTTTGACAACCTGGGTCGAAAAATAATTGGAGCTTGGAATGATCATGTGTGTTTAAAAGTAGCAGACCAACTAATGGGACCAAATTGTGTGCCCATTTTGTGTGTGTGTGTTTGTGTTTGGATGGTTTACTTGTACAACTTTCTTAGAAATGGATTTAACTTTTTAACAAACAACTTTTCCTTTTTAAAGTGAAAACTATTCTCCAGTCCTTCGCACATCTGAGTGTTTCTCCCCCCCCCCCCCCGACTTGGGTCCCTAGCCTTGAACTCTCATCTATAAACATCCTTCCAGGCCAGATTTCTAGGAAGTGGCAACAGTGTCTAAGATGGGAGTCCTT